CCTACCGGATCCATGGCATAATCATTATGGTCACCCCCTTATGGGTACACTCATCCGGATCCAGGTTGCTTGAATCCACTTCATTGTAAGTGTACAGTCGTCATGGATCTGAGCTCTCCAATCATCCAACATCGTCTTGCGACCGTCTGTGATCTCCATTGTCCCACGAAAGTTCGAGATCCACTGCATCAATCATCCCTGTATCCCGGATCCAGGTCCCTCTATGCGGGGTCCTCCCCTCCTTGGATCCAAACTCGGAGGTATGGGATCCGGGATACCTCGCGGTGAATCTTGACTTCTCATTAGTCGTGGCTACTAGATCCACCTTCAGATGACACCTACCACCATTCCTTCATAGGATCCACACTCGATCCACCGTTACATAGCATATCCCATATCCACCTAAGTGAACCCAAGTAAGGGATGGATCCGAGATATGTCTTGGTAGATCTTGCCTTCCCGTACATCACTCATACCAGATCCATCGTCGTCTCATATGGGGTGCTGCTCGTCATGGCTAATCCACCTCAGGCAACTTGCATCCGCGCCGGGCGATCCAAATCCTACTTAATCACTTGAAATGGTCACTGATTCGGGATAGTGACCCCTGGTTAGGCCCATTCTCTTATTTCTGAGAAAGCACTTCGTCACACTGGCGGTACTCGTAGTTCGCCGGGAGGAACGCGGCTCGGAGCTGTTCGCACAGCTGAGCCCAGGATGTGGAACATCCAGGGGATGATGCCTCCCGTGTGTACACCCAGCTCTTTTAGCACGACCGCTAAGGTTGGAGAGTGCAAAAGCAACACGAAGCTGCTCGGTCGAGATCCGAGCCGCATCCATCGCGAGCTCTACCTCTCGGACCCAGAAGTGAAGGTTCTCACCTTCCTTTTCTTCATGCGGCTTAACCTTCAGCCGTATTGGCTTCGGGTGTGGTGGATTTGCTGTCGCCGCCGGAGCCTGCATGTTCTCCCGCACATGCACGATGAGCCCCTGCTCGTAGGCGATAAAGGCATTGACGCGCTTGAGCTGCTCGGCCGGTGTTGACACCACCAGGCTCTGCAGGACCTCCATCCCGAAGATGCCTGCCATCTTCCGAACCGACTCGAACTGTGAGTCTTTCACATGGGAGAAGTCGTTCCTATCCATGGCAACGAACTTCGGAGAGGTTCAGGTAGTCTACCCGCGGTGGCGTGGATTGACTACAAGTGCTACCAAGTGTGACGGGGTCACACAGCACCTTGCGCTAGAGGAAGTTGGCTTCCGAGAGTACACAAACTCTCAGTGAACGGCAGTTCACATGTCCCCTTTTACCGAAAGGGAGCGAAGTGAACAATTTAAGGTAGTATGTAAACTGATTATATTTATAGGTAGATTAAGCTTGAGTTAAATACAAACTATAAGTCATCTATAGAAAAGCAATGTCATCAGCCAATGGCTGGCTTTGGACGACCTTGGTACCTTGTGCCAAATATCCCGAAGTATGACGTGTCACACTACATGTAACTAGGGGTACACTTAGGGCTACGTAGCCCGTTACAGCTGCAGTGCCTCTTCCAAGTCGGCTCCAACCTTTACTCGTTTATAAATGTACTAGCCGTGCTAACATGTAAAGCACGGAGCGCTCTGGATTTTTATCAATTACTTTTCGAAAAATTGAAACTTATCATTTTAAAAAAGCAAAAGGATAAATAAGGCAATGTGGAGGGCAGTCGAAGTCGTAGCGCTTAAACAAAATAAGTTTATTATGGGGCAAAAATGATGTCACTAATCCAACAAGTCCTTGAGCAAATAGCTTTTGTCGGTGCTCGTCATAATTTATTGCTAATTTTCGCGTTTTTCAAGAAATATATTAATTAGCTTAAATATTGCTTTAAATTGTCCCTACAATGATAAAATCGTATATTGCTCTTGCTCTATTGGCCAAAATTACTTGTTAATTCTCTTCGAGCTCAGTAAACGTTGCGGCTTATAAAATTTAGGGAATGCCTTGCGTATCCGGGTTATCAAAGTAAAAAGGAGGAGTATTATTTGTAGATGATTTAGGGCTCCGATCACTCTGGATAAATCCAGACAAATTTTATTGTTATCCACAGCTCATTAATAAGGTATTTGCCTTTTATGCGACCTATTTTAGTACTAGTACTGTAGTCTCCCATACCAAAATTTATCGGACCCTCGGACCCATCGGACCTGTACCTCAAAGCTGGTACAAAATGCAAAAACAAATACCGTACGAACACTTTTGAATGTACATTTTACTGACAGCTGCGGTACTGCATGGGGGTAGGGGAGACAACCCGAGATGGGGATCGGCTGCAGTGAGAATTTCAACCATGTTTATAGGCGCAAGGAAATGGCCTGGTCCGCCGAATGGGCTGAGAAAAGCTAAAAAAACAAAAACATGCATTTTGCGACCAGGAGCCATGTGCTCTTAGCCAGGTAAATTCAGCAATGAGCCCCCGATTTTCGTGGCGGGGTCCACTATTAAGAGCACCAGCGACAGCCAGTTACAGATGTACGCACTTATTGGTCGATTTTTCACCAATCCTATCCTGCCACCTCAGTATGTTTAGACTCGCACCCAACCTGTGGCTCACAGCCTAGAAGAGCTCAAAACACACAAAACGGGTCCCGACAATGAGGCCTCTACGCTCAGTCTTAATTTTTTTCGCCCAACTACGCAGACCTCCAACTCGACCGCTCAAGCCCCACAGCTCATGCTCTCGCTCCTCAGCCCCCCCCCTCCTCCACAGCCCCCCCCCCCCGGACCTCATCTCACCTCACCCAAAATCACCCCCTCCCCCAACGACGACGTAACTCAGTGGAAGAGCTCAGGGCTCCGCCCTGGGGACCCTGGGTCCAAACCAGCCGTCGCCATCTTTTTGATTGTGAGGGGGAAGCTCCCCAGGGGCCAGGGGCTAAAGGACTGGGGCTCTACCTGCTTCGATATCTGAACTTAGTAAGATGTGGTTACGCTGTGTGCGTTATGCGAAACGTGTATGATGAATTCGCTAGCTAAGTGTTCCTGTTGCTAATCCTTAACTTCTAAAACGTCTTGGGTGTAGCCAGGAGCGGGATCGCGAATGGCTGCAGACTGGAGGAGGTTTTGGGGGCGCTTGATTCTGTCGTTTAGGTCTCCCTTGCTGTGAAGAGCCTGCAAGTGCTTAAGGACGGCGCTCGACCCACGCGAGCTGATCTTCTTCTCGTCACTTAGGAAGGTAAGTACGGCTTCCTCTGCTTTCTTTCCCACCTCAAGAACACAGTCACGATAGTCGTCAGCATCTTGGTCAAGAACAAAGCCGTCTTCAAGAAAAATCTTCATGAAGGCTACCAGCAACTTCGCTCTTGATCGCTTTTGTTTTGGCGCCAGAGCGTACCAGCGTGGATCTTGAGCGTACCACGCAAACCAGGTAGCATGAAGGTGAGTTGGAGATCCCCGGCGCTGCTTCTTGTTTAGCGTGCTAACGTCATCTGTGCCTTCCTCTGGACAGCTTCGTTTTCTTGGTGTAGGCTCGCTGTTTTGCTTAGCTTCGAGTGCATCTATGCGAGCGTCCTGTCGCTTGATGTGCTCCATAAAGTGCTTAATCACAGCCGCATGGTGGTCGATGGTCTTCTGTTTCTCGCTTGATTCTCTTGGCTGTTCGTCGTCGTTGTGGATTGCTGCATTACCTGTCTTGGTGTCTTCGCAGGTAGCGGATGGGGTTGCCAGGTGCGAGGACCAAGCGAGCAGCTCGGCTGGTGAGCATCCAGCGTAATCAACAGCCGCTTCGATGCGCGTCACAGCTGGACTTGTGGGGTTCAGGTCTTTGAGTAGCGGGAAGTGACGGAAGACGCGTGCGGTGAGGACATCCATCACCTTCTTGTTGATGTTTAGGCTGTCGGTCTTGAGCTCGAAGCAGGTAGCAAACAGGACACGCTGCACCCGATCCATCGCTTGACGCGTCTGCGTGTCAAAGCTAGTCAAGTCTTGCAGCGGCACCGCGGTTCTGGGTTTGTATCCGCTGAGTACTTTCGCTATCTTATGGTCTTCTTTGCTTGTATTGAAAATGTAATTGAACCCTTTGTTCGTTGTGCTTAGATTCCAGGAGCCTCTGTCAAAGATCCAGCGTGCAGTCATCTCGTCGCAGCCGTTTGCGTGCTGAGCGCCTCCTCTTCGAAACGAGTGGGATGTCAAGGCGACATCCACACCAGCAGCAGACGCTGCACGGTCTAGCACCCGGTTAACGTGCGCGTATACTGTAGGGGCTGTGGCAACGCGCGGCGGAGCTGCTGGAGCGGCAAGACCAGTTGTGACTTGCGGAGCGTTGAGCAGCTCGATCAGCGGGACGTCGGGAGAAAGCGTGGAGCCTGCGAAGCCTGCTTGTTCTGGGAGGTTGCTGACGAGGGCTGGTCCTGGGGCGGCTTGGAGGATCAAGGCGAGCGCAATGGAGAGCAAGGGGCACGTAGCCAATTCCGTATCAGGAAAGAGCGACAGCCCCTGCTCCTCAGACGTCTTCACGCGAACCAAGCGCAGGAAGAAGACGTCGCCTGCGTCCACTGACATGTTGTGTTTGCGGACCATGGCTAGGTCAGACGCGCGACCGAACAAGTACCAGAGAAGACATAGTAAAGTTGCATCTTGATAGTCACTTTCTGAGCTAGCATAAGTGTACAAATACAACATCATTCTTTTCAAATCATCTTTCGTACAAGGTGGTGCTTTCGCTACGAGCCCACCACCATCTCGCTTCAGACAGAAGCTGTCTAGTGTCTTTCCCATTTTCAGCAACCGGGCTTCCAATGAAGCTCGGTGCTTAGGGAACTGGTCGAGCAGCCAAAGCTTTGCTTGCCGATAGTACTGCATGGCAGTGTTGCGAGCTATTGGTTTACCTTTCTTTCCTTCCTTGAATGCAAGATACATACCAAATTTATCCATCACACACACGAACATTTTTCCGCTCTCGTCACTATCAATGCACTTCCTTATGTATTCCTGTTCAACTTCCTCTTCTTTGAGAGATTTGACGAACGCACCGATGGCTGTTGCCTTAGCCCGCAAGGTGTTACCAGGCTGTAGTTCGTCTAAGCCCATGTCACTGATTCACTGGTCCGATAAAAGCAAAATATGCAAGTGATATGTCAATGACTTAGAGTTTGGATACGCATACACATATTTTGCGGATCGATCGGACGTGATACGTCCGATCGGCTGGCGTAGAGGACTCGCCTACCCCTATTTAATTTGATTGGTTAAATAGCATTATCATCTTGAAAGCTATTGGTTAGTACCACAGCAAAATTATATCATTGGCTGTAAGATACCAATACAAAATATAAGTGAGGTCCGATAAAACTTCATATTCTAGCGTAAAGCTGCCGACTGCGGCCGACACCGGCCGACGCTTCGGTGATTGGTAAAAAAAAAAACTGGTCACAAAGCAACGTTAGGTTTTATTCTTAGTGAGGTTCTTTTAATTGACTGGATGTGCACCAAAGCACTTGTTGTCATTTCAGATTTTTCAGCAGCAACGGACAAGCTCACGGTACGTAACTGCCTACACTACCAAACACCCCCGAAGCTCTGATGGTTGAGCCCGACCGAAAGGCCGGTGGAGTTGGTTCGAATCCAGCCGGTGGTATCTTGATTACTTATTATGTATGATACAAGGCGTCTGAAAACTCAGCTAAGCATATTGTAGTGCAGTGTTCTATACACTGCCCATAAGTATGCTGTACGAGCTATCTAGTGCTAACGTATGTAATATAATTTGTTTTCGCCAACATGAGTGTCTATTTGTCGTTTAGGTTGCTGAGGAAGTATTGTCTTCGATAGCCTCATCGTCAATGAAGGTACTGCGCACTAGATGACGGCGGTCACGGTTAAATTGCGTAATCAGCTCCTTTGAGATGTTCTCGCGAGGCTCCAGGGTTGGCTCCCAGTCTACCAGGTAGTGTGCCTTGTTGCCCATGACCACGCACTGCAAGAGACGTCGCACTCCGTATGTCCCGCGCACTTGACCCACAGCTCCATCAGTTGGAGGAATGAGCCATTCTTGAATGTCGTCCAGCTCAACCAGCCCACGCTTCTTCTTGTTGATCTTGGCCTTGCACTTGTCCGTCAATCTGACAAAAAATGCGCGGAGAGCTTCCGGTACACGGTCTCGAGTACCGATTGTCTGGATCATCGAGTTGCGTAAGGCACGGATGGACGCGTCCATAATGCGTAGCTTGGCAGCTTTTGCAAACCTAATGCAAAGCGTCTTGAAGTCACGATAAGTGATGATGGTCTCAATAGACAACATGCTAAATTTCACAGTATGGCGGCGAAATCCAAAGTGTTTTGTTTTTAATACTTTGTTTGTGAAATTGTATTGGTTTGATTGTTACTGAATAACTGGACAGGGGAGCTGCCAAATAAGTGGCCTGTTACTGAATAACTGGCCATGTCAATTACAGAATAAGTGGCCCGTTACCAAATAAGTGGCCTGTTACAGAATAACTGGCCACGTCTGTTTACAGAATAAGTGGTCCGTTACCAAATAAGTGGCCTTAATCCAAACAATGGTTACACTCACCTACCTACAACACGTTCGTTTTGCATTTACAGCACCTCAAAAGATGTATTTGTGAACTTAACACTACCAAACGCTGCTGAGCGGACTAGTTGTTCGTACCGGTGAAGTTGCTCAGCGTTTGATGCATTTTAATGCGGAACTTGTCCGATCTTCCAGTAATCATTCTAGACTTCAGTTTTTTTATCTCGCTTTGGATCGATTTGTTCTTGTTTTGCGTGATATACAAAGCGATCTTCTCCATGTAATACAACATGTAGACCCCACAATCAGAGTTGTTTTTTTAGCTGCGGGTGAGTCTCACAGACGGATGTCGTTGCAGAACCATCAGAGGCGACCCCACAGACTTCAGCCAAAAATTGCGTTGCAATACTGAATACGTGGCTCGACACATGAATTCCCACGCAAGAGTCAACGTGAAACATGCGTCTTGATGGCTTGGCGGGCTCTTCAACAACAAGCAAGATCCAATGGTTATCGCCCCAAACCGGAATTAGAACTGCAAAATACAGATCCTAGTCAATCTTGTCAACGAGCTTCTTGACATCCAAGAAACTGCTTTCACCACCGCTCTTGGCCTGTTTGATTTGACTGAAAAGCGATGCCCCAAGAAGTTTCACAGATCCTCCAGTTAATTTTATGCGCTTGTAAATGGCATAGTCGATTACCACATCAGCAAGCCAGCCAAACGGTTTGAGCGTCATGATATCATCTTTGAAAACTTTCACAGAGCGTTCTTCTCCCAACATCGATGTGTCAAGGTTGCGAACTGTAAAAGAAAACACCGCTCTACTGCGTTTTGCGAGTAGATCACGCTGGCGCCGAGAAGCTATCGGCTTAGAACCAGTGACAGTTTTTGTGTGCTGATTTTGCCTCGCATAATCAACTTTCAATTCTTCATCATGATCATCTGCAAATGGCCCGTCGTCATCTGATTCATCTGGCTCCGGATCGTCGTTATAGTCGTCGTCAGCTTCGTCGTCTTCTTCCTCGGCTTCGTCGTATTCGTCGTCATCAGATGTCGGGTCTTCTTCGTGATCGTGTCCTGTTTTGCAATCACCTCTTTCACCATCCAGATTGACTGTACCTTCGCCATTATCATTCACAGGAGGTGTACCGGTGGCGGTGTCACCAACATCGTTACCTGCAGAGTCTTGGGGGGGGGTGGCAGCGTCGCCTCGAAAACTTCTATCGGTACACTAACGAGTGACTGTTTCGTACGTGCTCGTTGTGCGATTGAGCTGCTCGGCTTGGTAGTTTTGGATTTGGCCGTAGCGAGAGGGAATGGCATATCGCTGTTCTGGTCAGAGATGTTTAGCGGAAGTCGTCCTTCGTCGCGGGTAGCACCCGAGCTAACTAGCTCGTTGCTTTCATCAGGTACGCAGGGCTGTATTCCCCGCGACGTTAGCTCGTCGCTGGTATCTGTATGTGGCTTGAAGAGCTCCGTAGCCCGGCTCCCACAGGTAGTCTTCTGTTCAGAAGGGGCCGCTGGCGACGATTTGTAGCGCTTGATGAACCTCGTCACATACACCTTTTGAGCACCTAGATCCTTTAACAGGAACTCAGGGATGGTGCTACAGTACGTAAAAACATCGTGGTACGTTGCTTTGCCGTCTTCTCTCAGACAAGTATCGTAGTACTCCAACACCCTTGTTTCAAAAGCAGGAGGTTTCCGTTTTCTTCCTCCTCCTACCGCTCTCTTCCTCGCTCCATCACCGAGTGTTGAATCATTTCTCACGCGCGAGGTATCCGGATACTCCTTCTTCCACCTGCTGAGAGCACCTCGGCTAACACTCAACTCGCGAGCGGCTCGTGTTGGTCCCCATTCCGGATTAGCCTCCCATACAATAAGCTTCTCAAGCTTCTGCATAAGCGTCAGCGAAGTGCACCGACGCGCTGTAGCTCCCTCAGTTACACCTTGAGCTGCTGCAGTTTCCATTATGACGCAATTTTCGGACCTGTTCCCCTCACCGCAGAAATCGTAGAGTGACTTGTGGGAGGTACCTTTTTGTCGGGCTTATACAGACTGTTCGTTTTGTGACAGACCATTTAATTGGTAGCAATCGTGGCCAATTATTCTGTAACAGGCCAATTATTTGGTAAAGGGCCACTTATTCTGTAATAGACGTGGCCACTTATTCAGTAACAGGCCTTATATTTAATAACAGACCACTTATTTGGTAACAGGCCACTTATTTGGTAACGGACCACTTATTCTGTAACAGACGTGGCCAGTTATTCTGTAACAGGCCACTTATTTGGTAACGGACCACTTATTCTGTAATAGGTTGTCTACGTACGTACAAACAAGTCTTGCGTTTCACGCGGAGCTGGATCGATAATTGCCTCGATTGCAACACGAACTCGAAACTCTTTTATCAGGGCATCCAACTTACCTTCATGGTAGTATTTTCGCAATTACTTCAGGACGGAAGATCCACTTTTGCGCTTAGCCCCGTACGCTACGAAAAACTTAAACATGTTCTCTTCCGACTGTTGCCCAACTTCCAGGACATGGTCACAATAAGTAGGTGACGATGGGTCCAGCTTGAAGCCATTTGGCAGGAAGAGCTTCATGTAGTTCACAATTTGCTTGTACGCTGATTTCTTTTGCCGGTTTTCGCAGACATCCCAGAACCGCGGCGTCTTGGCATACCACTCAAACCAGATTGCTGCCGGCCGTTTAGAAGTCGACTTAGAGCCACAGCCCTTGAGTTTTGCTGAGGTCACAGTGTGGCGTGAGGTATTTCCCGCCACTTCTCCCGCTGTCTCGGGCTCAGGTATGGGCATTGACACGGATATCACTCCATCCCTCTGAGCTTGTTGTTTCTCCAGCTCCGTCACCCGTTTAGCCAACGCTTAATTCATCGCTACCAACTCGCTAATGACGCAATTTTGATGGTTAATCAGCGTATCTTCGCGCGAAAATTTATTGCCGCTATTTCCTTCTGGGCCGTCGCTTTTCTTCATCGCTTTACGCTGAAGCTCAGAGCTCCATGCCAACACTTGTGCCTTCTCAATTCCAAGTTTCACGAGAATTATGCGCATTCTAGACACGTATGGACACATCGGGTACCGTTCTAGAACCTCAGGAAAATGCTGGATCAAAGATGCCGTGAGTACTTCGCATACACGATCACTTAGCCGTTTACTGGGATCTTCAGTGCAAATACTCGTCTGGAAGAGGAGGTTGGCAATACAACGGGCTTGTTCCCGTGTTGTGGAATCCAACCATGTTAACGTTGGCACCTGGGGCTTGGCACTTGCGTCCCATCCGCTCAGAACTCTCGCAACCTTCTGATCCTCACTTGTAGTATTGAACACATACGCAAATGCCTTGTTTGTAGACGTCACGTTCCATGAACCACGGTCGAAAATCCACTGGGCGCTTAGACTAGCATCCTTGTTCGCATGCTGGGCACCACCGCGGCGGAAAGAATGCGAGGTCAAGTTGGGGGTAGGCCTTGCTCTTGCTTGTGCTTCGCTCGCGGATTTGACAATGCGATTGACATACGCGTGTATCTTCATACTTTCATCATTGGTTTTGCGCTTCTTCGTGCGTGGCTTGCAGGAAGTCTCAGAAGCCGTTTCTGTGTCGTCTCCGTCACAGACTGCTAGTGCTTCTGCTAAAGAGATATCTGTAGGGGTTACGATTTTCTCTTCGTCTCCGGTAGCAAGTTGAGGATGATCCAGTAAACGTGAGCTTGGTGTATCTTGCATTACCAGGGCCATGGCGATCGCATGTAGTGGGCAGGTGACGAAACTCACTTAATCAGGGAAGATCGATATACCTTGCTCTTCCGATGTCTTGACGCGTAACAGCCTCACAAAGACGACTCCATCAGCGCTTACGGTGAGGTTGCTCTTTGCGACGAAGCCTAAGTCTGAAGCGCGGCCGAACGCATACCACATCAAGGCAAGGAGCGCAGCGTCCTGGTAGTCCTTAGAGCTCGCAGCATCAAAATACAAACCGTCCATCAGAATACGTAGATCTTCCTTCGTGCACGCCGGCGCTCGCTTCGTAGTACCACCTTCGAGGCGCTTCAGGCAGTGCCGTTCAAGAGTCTGGGCCATCTTGAGAAGCTTCTTTTCGATTGAGGCTCTATTTTCCGGGTAGTTGTCGAGTAACCAGTTTTTGACGTGCCGGTAGTAGCTCATGACTGAGTTGCGAGCTAGCGCCTTCCCTCCTCGCCCTTCTGCACTTGTAAGATAAATTGCGAAGCGATCCATCAGCTTGACAAACTTTGCCCCAGTCATATCACCTAGAAGAGTGGCTGCGATATACTGCATATTGACGCCTTCGGCCACAAGGAAGCGAGCGAACGCATTGATAGCTGTCTGCTGTGCACGCTGGGAGTTGGCCGGTGCAAGGTCTTGCAGACTCATACTGTTTTGATGTGTTTTTGTCGGTCAGAGGGGGAATATCCAAATGATGTTAAAACGCTTGATGGTTTGTATACATTAACGCATATTTAGTACCCTTGCCGACATTATATGTCGGCATAACGTCGGCAGCTTTTTCACCTAGCCCTAATAACTCGGATTTGATAAAATAGCTGCATCCACGACTTGATTGGCTATTTATCAAATATCAGCTCGATATGACCATACTGAAACTAAGTAAGAAATAGACTGTCGGCAGCTTGATGATATTCATCCATATCGAGAACCTTTCTCTCATCCCAATTTCATTTTGACTGGTGGCCCAATATTTGGTCCTCTTCGCGCCATTTCTTCTCCTCGAAACTCTCCTTCCATGCCAGTTCCTCTATCATCTCAATAGCCAGCGCCATCGTCGGTCGATCCCTCGGGTCGTGCGCCACAAAGCGCTTCACAACGTTCCATTCATCATCACGCAAGCCATCAGGTCGTGGATAGCACTCGAGCTCCTCCAATTGGTTCTTGATCGACTCTTCACAGTCCGTTCCGTACGGAATAATACCCGTGCGCGCTTCAATAATACACAAGCCGAACGCGTAGACATCTCCAGGTTTTGATGGGTCCTCTCCTTTCCCGAGATTGTACTCGGGTCCCTTCCAGCGATCGACGCTCCCCACCGCAGCGTTGATCAACTCAAAGTGACAAATCTTGGGGGTGCCGCTCTCATCTACCAGAATGTGCGAGCACTTGAGACTCCCGTGGGTTCCTCCGCGTTGATGGATGTGGCTCAATCCGTGTCCAACCTGGAGAAACATCCGCCACAGCTTCCTCTGGTTACACCCCCGCTCACTAGCAAAAAAGCGGATAAAGTTACCGTGCGCAGCGGCGTCTTCCCACACAACACAAGGCTGCGACAGTAGCATGGATTCCCCCACTATCTTGGCCACATTGGGGTGTTCAAACCCGTGCCAGATCTCGGTAGCAGCCCAAAAGAGCTGCCTCGCATAGCGATTATCGGCCGACAGATACTGCGCAATCAGGCGAGTTTCTTGGTCGTACACGCCTTGCCTGACTGTGCAGCTCGTGTCTTCAATCTCGCCGCGCTCTTCCTTCACGTCCAAGTCCACTGGCGGGATGAAGAACGGCGAGATCTTGGGCACGCTGGAGCATTTAAGAATCCTGATCATTGTGGCGTACACAAGCTTCGCTTGTTGCTGTTGTTCGAGTTCATTTTTGTGAAATTCGTGCTCAAACTTCATAATTCCCAAAATTTCGGCAATTTGCGGGTTAGAGAGTTGAGCGACAATCGGCTTGGGGTCGCCCACTCGCCCTCGAAACAGTGCGTACATGCGCTCGCATTGGACCTCCCACTGCCTCCTCCACTTTGTCATCTCTGCGTTTTTCCTCAGACCCAAGAGGCCGAACAACGGATCGATCTCTTGGTGTATTTCCTGAAGCTTCTCGAGCGTCGACCTCTTTGTAGCGAACCGGATTAATACGTTGAGGGAGTTGTGCGTGGTCACCGCCGCGTGGAATCTCGCAACCAATCGCCGCTGCAGCGCCAAGATGGCCACAACGAGGAAGAGATTGCTCTTTCCACAGCCCTCGAGGGCCCGACGTACGTGTCGCAGTCGCTCGTAGACATTCGAAAACAGCTCGTGGAATTCGTCTTTAGTATCTTGGCACTGCTGCTGCAGAACGTCCGAGGACGTTGCGTCGTGTGCCGCTAGGAAGGACGACACGAGCGTCGCGATGTGGAACATTGCAGGTATGTAGGCTCCAGGTCGCTAGCTCCCGCAGGACGGGGTCGACTAGAAGACGAGCGTCTTGCAGTCGACTAATTTACGAGTGACTGTCGTCAAGTGTACCCAATGCGTCGGTGATGTCGGATGTACAAGTTGTGGTTGGTTGGCATTAGCATCAACCGGTAGATGGGTTCAACTGGATACCGTCTAAGTACACTGTAACTTAAGTCGCTGTTATCGATTCAGTGCAGTGAACTCAAGTGCTCGAACGTCCGTCAATGAGAATTAGCAAACAGTGCGAAGTACAAATGCTTAATGAGCATACATGAATTTATCCGAGGGCGAGACATTCTAAGATTATGAATCTAACCCAAAACAAGTGTAGATTCTTTACCCACGAGCGCAGAATTACTCCTGAACATTTTTTCCTGGAACTCTAGCTAGTCAAGTAAGTGAATACTGTATACCCTTAGCTGCTAGAGATCAGGTAAAAATATTATTTCTGTCGGGAGGTATTCCAAGACAAGCTCACTGTTGCTTTGTCTCTGTCAAAGTATGCATCTCCGACGTGATATGCTATATCACAGCGACAACATGCCATATGAAAGACTTAAGTGTTATCATCCTTAATGTTGTATTATCTTATAAAGTTAACATATAATACATGTAACGAAAGGATCTGAATCATTGATCACCTCACTTCTCCTTTATCAAGTCCTTCACAGGTTAATATACAAGCTTAAATTGTGATTTCAAGAAGCACCCACTGTGTGCTTCCTGAAATAGATACGATTCATGTAGTTGTACCCAAAAACCGGGTTTTCTCCTGAAACTGAAATTAGCTAGATATTATGTTAGTGACAAAACATGGTAAATGTAACTTGTGGGTCAAGGGTAACATAGTTTCGGTCGAAAGAAGTAATCTATTCCTCAATGTCGTCCGAAGCTCGTCCAAGCATTGATTGCAAACAAGGTGAATGCAGTTTGTGGGATATCCTGACAACGTTGAGTACATCATGAAAATAGACACAAGCAAACATAATATGAGCTCCACACAATGTCCAATATTCAAGACAAGATGCTAACCACTGAACCTGGAGATTATTTTAAGAGATGTTTAAAAAACATCGCGAAGATGACACAAGCAAACAATAAGTGCGCACGCAATGTTAAAGCTGCAAGATAATACGCTATGACAATTGTCAAGAAGATGTGTCCAGTTAGATTTAACACATGTGAATTTCCACACCCTAATATTCGCTTAACATATACTTCGAAGTATTGCATAAAAAAGTAAAGTATTAGCGCGAGTCCTGTGCTCAGTTGCAGACTCAAAAACGCTCTGAGTTTTATAGCTAGAGCTTTGCAGAAATTGTGTACCGAGATCACAACAACTTTAGCGCACGTTAATCAGTAAGATCCAGAGTTTCCCCATGCTAGGAGCGACATAAGCTTACTCTGATGGTAATTGCAGATTTCATTGCTGCGAGCAGTAGACCAGGTGAGTGGAGGTGCACGACGAAAAGGCGGTTCAGACGATATGGTTTCGCAGCATTGCCACGCCGTTTGAGGTTGGATGCAGATCAATACACACATACCCTTTAGCTTTCGAGACTGTGCTAGGCGCGTACGTGGGAAAACGCATACATTTATTTGCTTTACTACAAGCGCACATTACAGTAGCCACCACCGCAGCTTTGGTGGCGCTAGTTGTACTGAAATATCAAGTGTCTGTCTAGTTTTTTTTCTTCTTCTTTTGAGACGAATCAAGGGATTTGCAGGGGTTTAGGCGAGCCCGACGACGAAGACTTGGTTATTGGCGTCACCTGACTACGCGGTCGTTGGCGACTGAGCCAACGTAGTCTCCGACTGGGTCTGTGGAGCTTCCGTTTTGGTGGACGGAGATTCGGTTGAGTTTGTCACCGTCGACGAATTCGCACTCGACTGCGCCGGTGTAGACGCTCCGCCACTACCAGAAAGAGGCACACAATTGACTATACATAATGATAGGCATTAGAAGCTAGCGTAACAATCGACAAGAAACACACTGTACGCCTGTCATCGTGCGTTTTGGAAACCAAGCCAGTAAATACTGAAAATGCAGCTGGCATTACACGATGAATAGTCCACCGGCATCACAGACATTTCGCCCGAATCGTTCGGGCCACCAGGATAATCTGACTCGCAGTCATCGCTGTGAAGGACCATCTTATCGTCGATGTACAGCTCGCAGGGGCCCTACAAGTCACTCGTTAGCAGGTTGTAAGGAATGAGATCCGTTATTAATATCAAAGTACCGTGTGCGTAAAACCTCCGCCGTCGTTACCGAGCCATTTCGCCTTTCCGTCCGTCGGAATTGGTTGGGGCTCCACCTCCGTAGTCGTGAAGCCACACTTCTTGTCAGGTCCAACCATTTCTAGCAAGACATCCTTCACGCTCACGCCCTTCTCCTTGGCCATTGTTTTAAACTTTCCCACTTGGTCCCCTCCAGAGCCGATATCCCAGAAGTTCTCGATCTGAGCAACCCAATTGACGGTGGACTCGCCATCCTTGAAAGTCGGGTTGGGCTGGTTGAGATGGCCGTGAGCATAAATACGCAATGCAAACGCGAGTAGTGTTGCAGCAGAAGCGAAAGCGGCACCGGTAAGCATCGTTAAACTCAGGAAGTGAGGATCGAGATGCAATTTCGAAAGTGGCGGGCAGGAAAGACAGCGTTTTGTTAGCCCCCAAGTTTTTTAACTGTAAGCGGAGAAGACCATCTGATTATTATTAAGCTGCGTTTGTGGACATGTGTACTTTCAAGCCATGTTTTAACAAATCTTTGGAGGAAAATAGATGAAGTCTCAATCCCACAATCCCAACGTTGAGCTACAGTATAAAACACATTTTCTTTGGAGGTCTAGAATGTGCCAATGCATCCACTAAGTTTTGTAAGTAAGAAAGAAAACATTACGGTACTCTACGTCTGGAAGTTTCCCAGGTGTATTTCATTTTTTTCCAGACGTAATGCGTTCGTACAACCACTTACTGTAGAAAAAGCCGTTACTGTAACGTTATTGTATCTTCTGAAATAGCTTACCCTAGTTCAAAACTGATTATTTATACATGTACCCCTGCTGATCAGTGAACTGGGCAAGGTGTATGGAACTTTCTTTTTCGTCCAAGACACTCCGTATTAGCTAGCATTAGTTAATAGCATGCTAATGCTACTGAAAAATGATTGTTCTGGGAAGTAATGCACGGCAGGAGATTTAGTAAACTACTGCCTCTTTTGGTACCTCAATCGGACAGTTTGGGTATTAATAACTTCACCTTTAGAATGTCATCGCGGAGATGGTACCTCAAATAATCGTTCCAGATCATGGCTCCCAGGGATTACATGTACTGTGGGTTAAGCTTAATGATACCCAAATAACAGAATTCTGAGGCATTTTTGTGTGCAAATGTATTAATAGCTATCGTAGTACGAAGTGACGGAGATAATACTAAGTAGTGAACATTGAATTTTGATCTTTTTGCGGTTTAGCCAGTTAACTATTACACCCTTGGTCGCGTGCAACAGCAACCTTGCAAACTAGCACTGATTAGCGGATACATGCAGCGGATGCTATCAGGGGCTATAACCGTATGATGTTAGACGAATCTATTTCAATTTACGTTAACACGTCATGGACAACCCCCTGCGCTTGCGTACTGTTGGTATTATTAAAGTAATACTAGCTCTCATAATTAGGTTTTCTTATCAATAAGAATTATTTAAATGCCAAAGTTGAATAGGCACCATCAGTATTAGAATTATACTACGAAGTATGTGTATTAATATTAGGTGATCGCTTTGGGCAAAACGAGATTAAATTGCTAGCAACATTTACGATACACCATTGCCAAACAGCTTGAGAATCTCTCCGTTCAAAATGAGAAAAGCTCAGTTCAAAACGAGAGAACCCGCAATCGTTTATGGAATTATCCTCACATTACCTTCAGTAATTAATTCTGTTTGCGCCGCCGTACCCTGTCAACTCTAAGGTGCTTCAAATATCACCCCCAAACGATTAGAGTCTAATCTAATTTAGACGGGGCATTTCGTCCGTCTCTTAGATTTTCTTGTTTTGATCTGAGCATTTCTTGTTTTAACCCGATGATTTCTCGATCTGGAAATGGTGTACAGTAAATCGAGCTCACAAACCCACGAGCTTCGATGATTCATGTGTTTATCCACAGCTTCAATGCGTTCGTGACAATCAGTGGCTCTTGTCTAATAAAGGCTTACAACGCCTACTTCGTCCCTGTACCATCCATCGAAACCGAGCGGATGTACTGCTGATCGTCGGCGGAGCAAGTGCGGTGGGACGGTGGTCGTTGACAAGATAAAAGTCGTTCGTCTTTATTCAGAAATTGCAAGCGACTTTGCTTAATGTGCTCCGCAAAACCAGACAGCCGTCTCCCCACAAGGTAGCGAAGTACGAAAAAGTAGACGAACCCCAACACGACTCCATCCGCGCTTTCGATGACGACCTGCAATCGCCCTATTAATTACATGGCTGACCAGCGAAAAGCAAGATGAACCCTGCCATTTCTTGGAAAGGCGAACCTCCACGTGGAATAAATTCTAATAGAGGGCTCTGATGGTGTTTTGTTGTCGGATCTGGGTTGCCACTATTTTGTGTACAGTACCTCGAAAATCCATTTAGTAGAACATGAAACCTTTTTAAAGTAAGAAGGGCGAAAAAAAGCGTCCAAAAGGAGAAAACTGGAAAGGCAAGTATCTGCGGAAGCGGTACTTGCGTTCGATAATAAGTAACATCAGCTACTGTAGATTCCTACCTTAAACTTGATTATATGGCGCTGTCGACGGTGGTGAGAGCACGGTTTCCTGCATTTTGACAAAGGTGTAGGTAACCCATCACCCTGCCCTTTGGTATTTGAAGCAGCCGCAGATACGGTAGAGCTCCCTCGGGGTTGAGGGCCATACGCGAATGCCTCTCACCTTCTCGGCAATGGCCTTGAGCCTCAAGGCCTCAAGTTGAGGCTCTTCGGTTATCTCCGCCGTACGGTAGCTTATACTGTACATGTAGACTATATAAAAGTTGCTTAACGATGATGAGCTGAGAAACAATCGACGGTGGATAGCCTAAAAACAAACCTTGATTGCGTGCGATTGTGTTGAATTATTTCTACATGTACCGGTATTTACTGTTTACATGTATTATACTCCCTCCGCTTCAGATTACTTGAACAAGTTATAGTTTTCCGCTGACAAAACTTTGGTCGAGACCACATACAAAACGCACATAGAAATAACCAGCGGGTAATTTTAGATGTTCTTATTTCGCAGTTAGATAATAAAACCTTGCTGAAAAACAACAGGAAAAACCTTGACTGGATCATCACTCATGTGATTTGATGGACAAATAGGATGCTGAGGATTCTAATACCGGTATTCCACCAATCAAATCAAAAATTCCAGTACCGGTAATTTGAAACTTGATGTAATCAAATTAATCTGAAATACAGGTAATTGAAATGCGCCAAGAAACATGAACAGGTACACTATTAATATCGATCAAATTAACTCCTTTAAGCCCGCTAAACTAGCAAACCCAAGCCGTTTGTGAATAAACTGCACTGAGTTCTTAAACAGTAGAAAATTTCTTGCGAAGACGACGAACAGGGGCGTTGCATTTTGTGTCCTGAGTCTCTGACGAGGGAGCCTCTGTCGTCTGCGTATTAGTCGTTGGGGGCTCCTCCGAAGGCTTTTCGGCCGCAGGGGCTGGTGTAGTTTCCGAAGTAGGAGCCTCGGGGGTCTTTTCCTTATTTGACGATCCCTCTTTTGACTGCGTTTCGGGGAAGGCGCCTCCGGAGCTTGCTCCCGATTCGTAGACCCGTCAGTCGACGTAGAGGGCACCGCGGGGGTCTTCACTTCGGCTGCTGACCCAGGTGTCGACCCCTGAGTTTGCGTCACTGAGCCACTTCCTTGTAGAGGAGCGCAGTTGACGTACGCTTGCCACTGCTCGTTTTAGAAATCCCAGCCAGTAGATTGTTAGAGTACATTTGCCGTTGCACGAAGAGAAGTCGACGGGCATCTCCGACATTTTGTTCGAGCCATTGGGACCACCAGGGAATTCCTCCTCGCAGTCGTCACCATGAAGCACCATTTTGTCGTCAATGTAGAGTTCGCACGGACCAGTGTGGGTGAACCCTCCGCCACCGTTGCCCCACCATTTCACTTTTCCGTCGGAGGGGATCGGCTGAGGGTCCACGTCTGCTCGCGTGTAGCCGCACTTCTTGTCCTTGACCATGTCCAAGACAACATCCTTCACGCTCATACCCTTCTCCTTGGCCATAATTTTGTAAACTTGCCGACTTGGTCGCCGCCTGATCCAATATCCCAGAAATTGTCGATCATCGTAACCCACTCGACTGTTGGCGCTCCATCTTGGAAGGTTGCCTGAGGTACCTTGAGATTGCCGTGGGCGTCGGCGTTCAGCGCAAAAGCGAGTAGGGTGATAACAGATAGAGCCAGCATTGTCGATAGACTTATGGGCACCAGACAGGAAATTAGACAATGAAATAGGGATGATGTCCACGCGGAATTATCCGGATAGTTTCGATCCCGTCAAACAGCACAACACAATGTGTGTACTGTAGAGGCGCAATCTGCATCTGTTCATCAGGAATGCTCAGCGATGTGGTTTTGGGGCAAAAACTGACCTGAACTGTGTCAAACAAGTGTAAACGTGTACAACAAAGTACAATTACCAGAACATGTACCTACACTGTACTATGTACAGTACCGCACCCCGTTTTCGCGCCCTCAGACCTTTAATAAATTTCGTTATGTAATGATCCTGAATCTAAATAAACAATGATTTGTACGTTAAAAAATAATTGAATTGCAAATCCTTTATGGTCCACCCCCGTGAAAACGGGGTGCAGCACTGTACATACGACACAGTCAAGGCCCGATAAAACTACGGTTATTACATGCGATCATAAGAAGTTTCATACTCCGAGTAAATATAAATACTAGACTGTTACTGTAGCTACTGTGCGTATTGGATGTGTTGAGCAGTGCACCGCTCATGCTCGGTTCGGGCCATTGGACCGGTTCAGTAGTGAACCGTCCTGTGATTGGTCCATATAGCACAACACCTACATGGTTGGTAGCGACAGTTGGTATGAGCAGGTAGTGCACAAAGGACAGGAAAGACAAGTAGAATAACGATAACATCAATCTTATTCACTTCGGTGTTTACCAGCAAACCAACAGGTTAACAGCCGCAACAAGAACTCTACCAGGCACGCCCCATCACCTTCATTCTACCGTGACGTCCAAGCGAGCCGAAGTCCTCCTGGGTAGTGGAAACTACTTCCACTGGGAGTTTAATATGCGCATGACGTTGGCGCGCAAGGGGTTGCTGGTGCACGTCCAAGTCGTCAAGAAGGAAGCGGAGGTGACTGAAGCGTGGCTCATCAACGACGCTAAGGCACTAGGAATCATCGCCCAAGGCGTCGAGCTACAACACCAGACGAAGATACGGTCTGCGATGACTGCTATGCACGCTTGGAACACTCTGCGTGAGTTCTACTACCGTACCACTCTGCACAACCGCGTCGAAATGACACGCCGTCTCCATGAGCTCAAGATGGAGAACGGTTCGACCATGTCCAAGCATTTGGACGCTTTCGATGAACTTGTTGTTGGTCTCCAGACACTAGGAGAGCCGGTCGACGACTCAAGACAGCTAGTTGTACTGCTGAGCAGCCTTCCGACGGAGTATGAGCTGATTGCGTCTATTACGGAGAACGCTAAGGATATCACGCTCATTGAGGTCAAGGAGAAGTTGTTGAAGGAGCACGAGCGGTTGCAAAAGAAAGAGACGACGGAGAAAGCGTTTCCTGTGAGCGGTAGCGGTGGACGGTTCAAGGGCGGCCGAAGTAACGGTCGAAAGGAGAGCACTCCAAGGAAGAACGGTGGTAGCTTCAAGGGCAAGTGTTTCAAGTGTAATCGAGTTGGTCACATGAGGCGGGACTGTCCGGGAGGGAGCAACGGTGCTGAGGATGACGCGGTATTTGCTGTGGGCGAAGAACGGTTCGCTGGATGGCTAATCGATAGCGGTGCGACCTCACACATGACACCGTACCGTGAAGATCTGTTCGACTATGAGGGAATGGTCTCGGACATCGAGGTAACAATTGCAGATGGGAAGAAGTTGCAGGTCGCAGGCAGAGGAACGGTCAAGTTGACCGGTATGGATAGCAAGCGCATCAAGATGGTGGAAGTTCTGTACATCCCAGGGACTCGACAGACGGTTGCTGTCGGTTGGGAAGCTTGCGGAGCGCGGTTTTAGTGTGGCGGCTCCAGCGTTTCTCGTGTGTCATCTGGGGCAAGAACAGTGCTGTGGCACTGGGCAAGAAGGTTGGCAAGGCGTACGTGCTTGACTGTGAACAAGAAGAAGCACGGTTCGTGGAATACGCCGGGGCTGGCAACCAGTGGGAGCTTTGGCACGCTCGTATGGGGCATCCCAGCGAGAACGGTATGGCCAAGACTCAGTCTGCCACGAACAGTATGCCAGTCGTTAACCGTGGCATCAAGCCTTTATGCGGTGGATGCATGAAGGGGGAGCAGACTGTGACACCGCTCCCGGCGCGGTCAACAAGCAAGACCTCACGTGTGCTGGAGTTAGTCCACACGGATGTAATGGGGCCTATGCCAGCGGTCTCCAAAGGTGGAGCACGGTATGTGCTGACATTTGTGGATGATTTCTCACGGCTCGTGGTGGTGTACTTCATGAAGAGCAAAAGCGAAGTCACCACTAAGCTGGCCGAGCTCAAAGCGTTCTATGAGAATCAATGGGGGGAACGGATCAAGTGTCTTCGCTCTGACAACGGAACGGAGTATGTGAACAAGAAGGTCACGCAGCTATGTGCTCGAAACGGTATCATGCATCAGCGTACTGTGCCATACAGCCCTCAGCAGAACGGTGTGGCTGAACGGATGAACCGTACAATCGTGGAAAAGGCACGAAGCATGCTGCACTACAAGGGTATGTCGACGACATGGTGGGCAGAGGCTGTGAGTACCGCAGCGTACCTGATTAACCGTTCGGTGAGCACGGAGCGATCAAACATGACGCCGTACGAGGTGGGCTTCAAGGAGAAGCCACGAATGGAACACTTGCGTGTGTTCGGGTCTCATGGGTACTCTCACATCGACAACGCAAAGAGCGCAAAACTTGATCCGAAGAGTTTCAAGTGTGTGTTCCTCGGATACGCAGAAAACACAAAGGGGTATCGTGTCTACGACTTGGAAGCGTCCAAGGTCAAGGTGGCACGATCAGTCAAGCTTGACGAACGTGAAGTAAACGATATATACGATACACCGTGCTCGGGACAAGGAACGGTCATTCACGTGACCAAGGACACTGATGTAGCAGTGATCCCAAATCCGGTTAAGGATCCAGTGGATGAACCTATGGAAGATGTCGAAGAACCCGTTCAAGATATCGAGATGGACAACGTGGAACCAGATCAGGATATCAGTGTACAACAATCACTGCCACTAGAAGATGAGACTTCCACTGGGCTGGAACTGGCAGAGTACCATGATTCGCAGCCGTTCCACGAGGATGCTTAGTATACCGTCCGGAAGTAGAACGCTCAAGGCGCTCTCGAGAGCCAGTGTTTCTTTTGGAGGACGGTCTGGGGCGTGACGACGAACGGAAGTCGGAAGGAAGTGACGGTCCGCCAGCACCTAAGCGTCCAAGAATCGACGAAGGTGGCCTACTTGCAGAAGCAGTGCTGGCGTATGCGGCAAGGATCAACGGTGTACCTGACACGCCGAACTCGGACGCTGAAGCAGTTGCAAGCAATGAAGCAGCGGAGTGGCGGAAGGCGATGGAGGCAGAACTTCTATCGCACAAGAAGAACAGTACTTGGACACTTGTACCGCGGAAAACGGTCCGTCCCATTGGGTGTCGCTGGGTGTTTACCAAGAAGCGTGATGAGAACGGTCGAGTGATTCGTTACAAGGCACGGTTGGTGGCTAAGGGGTTTAAGCAGAAGTACGGA